TAAGATAGAATAATAATAATATTAATAATAATAATAATAATAATAATAATAATAATAATAATAATAATAATAATAATAATAATAACAACAACACCAACAATAATACTGCGCGATTTTAATCGTTACAACATCCGGTCTACCATGAACTTTATTTGTCATATCAGATGTCATTAAATTCGTGATGAATACATTCAAACTTGAATGTATTGGATGGTACTATTAAACTTGGAATTAAAATGTTTCTAATTCAGTTAAGAGATACGATCGGATATGCGGCCTTGAGAAGAATGATAGGAATAATCATGGCTTATAAGTACTCTTAGTTATAAATAACTTCCTCTGTAGTTACTGAATATTACACTGTTAAAGATATGATAGAAATTTGGACCTATTTTGTGGGCCCGCTTAATGTGAGTTAAGTGCATCGGCTTCTTACAGAAATTTGTAGGTCCAAAAGAGAATGATGTTTATAGAAAAAAGAAAATAATAATAGACGAAAAAAACAATTCATCTTCGCTTAATAATTAACAACGTATATTACTTTTTATATAGTCAAAGTTATGAAATAATTTTCTAATCGAATTATTTATATTAATTTATTTTTTATTCTAATTTATATTACAGAGAAATCAAAGTCGTGAAAATATATATCGCGCTTTGCGTTCTGTGCAAACGTACATATTAAATAATAATTATTATTCTTGAAATAGTCCTTCATGCGAAAAGCAGATTTTCAAGTGTTTACCTAGAAATGCATTTCTTAGGTAGCTCAGATTATGTATACAACAAGATCTATTTATGTTCCTAAAACTTGTTGCTGCTGTTGCTGCAAAGTGTCAAAATTATAATCGCATCCCACTTAAAAATTATTGTTTTAAGTTAGAAATAAACTATTTGAATAATATTTTTTATAATTAGAATGTATATATATATATATTCCATATATGTATATATATATATACCCACATAAACATGAATATCGAAGCCACGTGTAACTAAATATAGTTTGCAAATGTTACATATCCTTCAATTGGTAATACATTATTTGTTCTTCCTTTTCTTCTCTCTCATTTTCCGTCGAATGTAACATAGAAATTATTCTCATCGAAATTATCCGTCAACTGTTGTTCTATATCGATTATTTTTTTATTTTATTTTTCAAATATCTTTTATGTGATAATTTGTTAATTTTCCTTACATTATCTTTCATTTTTGTAACGCGAATAAGAAAATTAAATTCGTTAACATAGCAAAGACGAATTTGGAGCATAGAGTGAGTGCAACTTTTAATTTTTTTTTTGTTCTTGTCAAATGTATATAAAAAATGTAAATGCACTTGAATGTCTTTGTATTAATTTAAATTTACATTAATATTATAGTATATATGATACACTGTGCTCACAAATAATTCAAAAACTAAACATATATATACATATATATATATACACGCATTAACTTATCATAAATGCTGAACGCGTTAATCTCTGTTATTTAAAATCAACGACAAAAATGCTGTTATGTGTCTCTCGTTATTATAGAAAAAAAAAAAAAAAAATAAGAAAAAAAATATTCATCGCTGAATTTTGTATCATGATTCATGTATTTTTCTTTGACTGATGAATTATGATGTAAAATCTCAGCATTAACCGTAACATTTATTTTTATAGAACATCAAATGAATAAGAATCAATGCTCATTAACATTTCCGTACAGAAATAAAGGATCATTGCAGAATATACACAGATTACAATTAACTAATAACTAATAATCGTAAGCTTTGTGTCACTGCATTCAAAATAATTGGATGTATATTACAAGATGTAAAGGATATAGCACTTTGAATTATTAAATAATTCCCATTAAAAGATGACTGAAAGCGAATTTTTCGTATTTTATTTAAACGTTGCCAAAATACGTACTTTTCGAGGTAAGAAAAATTGTACGACTGCTCACATTACTATACGTTATATAATATATTCGTCGATGTTACGTTTCATATCAAAATATAATATTTTTATATTCTTTTTTTCATTTTTTTCTAATGTGCAATAAGATTATAATTTTGTGTTTCTAAACGAAATTAAGATACAATATCGATCTATAATTTGTTAGGATATAAACCATTGCAAATGAATTTAATTTTACTGAAAAAACAGTCTGGGAATAAGTGTTCATATAACTGTATGCAAATATTGTTATTTATTACAAATTGAATATTATGTAATATTGTATACGCATGTGAAAGAATTTTCGTTCTATAAGAAATAATAATGGAAATAATTGCTATATCCTTTACCATTTTCTGTTGCGAGTCAGGTTATTCTATATATATATATATAATGCTTTAGTTATTTTTATTCTTAAATATTTAAAATATATTTCATACTTTTATTAATTATTTAAATGAATTAATATAGAAGTATTTAATTAAATTAAATTAAATGAACGATTATGTTCTAAAAGATTATCAAATGGAAGTTTAATAAGTCGGTTAAAAATTTGTAATAGATAATAAAATTGTCGACACAGTTAATATCATTTTTTCATAGTCTATTAAATCATCCCAAAAGTTTCAATAAATTTTACACGCGTAACATTTAAAAAAAAAAATATTACATGCGTAAAACTTAGTAAAAAAAAAAAAAAAGACAAAAACTTTTAGGACGACTTAGTCGTAATTAATATATTTGGTGTCTAAAGTTATTAAATTTCCGTAAAACAATATATTCAATAATAAATAAACATAGCCAATTACTGTTAAAGGAGAGATTGATCTATAGCTGCTATCTTTGTAAACGGAGTAACGCGAATATGAAAGAAAATAAACAGATTAGTAATGGAATTATGTTTCATCATTTTAATAAGTATTAAATATGAAATTATATATCTATACATTCTGTACAAAAAGTACCTGGAATTTTTAATTTAAAAGTCCCGCTTAAAAAGTATCGGCAATTTTGTTTTCCTTTAAGTTGGTAACCGCTGTATCTAATTACCAGCTGAGTTTAAGCACCATATGTTTGATCGTGTTTACAGCAGCTGTTTATATTAGTCGTACTCAACAGGATTTTGCTGTTTTTATAATAGAAAATAAAGTGGAGCAAAGAGTTGTATTAAATTTCGTGTGGAGAATCGTTGGAAATGATTAAAGGAATATTTTGTATTTTATTTAACAATTGTAGGTATTTTTTGTACGGAATATATAAATAGCTTGTGCAAATGTAATACATTTGTGCGTAAACATTGGAAAAAAGAAAAAAAAAGAAGGCCACATCGGATAAGTGTCATATAATGTATAATATGTTACATACACCTTTCATACATATATACACATGGATCAACATATACAGGCCCCCTAATATAGTTTAACTATGCAGGAAAAATCTTTTCATACAATGTATATTTTACGAGTTATTTTGAAACGTCATGTTCCGAGACTTACCCTGTATATTTCGATATGAATGACAACAATATGTTTTTTATGCTTATATATTTTTTGTCAAATATATTTTATCATAAATCATTATATAATTTATGTCCAAAATATAGAAGAGAGGCTTTAGAATCGAGATAATAACAATCGTAATATATAATTATATTTAATTGTAAGTATATATTCCTAACAAATAATATTATATCATTATTATTATTATTATTATTATTATTATTATTATTATTATTATTATTATTATTATTATTATTAATATTAAAAAAACATCACTTATATATTAAAATTTGATAAAATTAACGTACTTGTGACTATTTATTTAAAAATACCATAAAAAATATAATATTAAATCTACTTATATTCGATAAATGTTCCGTACGTTAAAACATCCTGATATCACTTATTCTTAAATATCCTCGTTGTTATCATAATTTATATTATTAACGCGATATTAATATTTATAAATAATATAAGAAATAATTAGTATTGAATTTAATTAAGATGCCTGTACTAAGTGGTAACTTGAAGCATTCAATAAATTTATCATTGACCGACCTACACATGAAGTTGAATAATAAACAAGACAAATTAGATAGTATACCTCCAACGAGTAAAGCAAAGTATGATTCAAAAGTTTTAATTGGAAATTGGCTGGAGCATCGTGCACCTTGCATACCTTTCTCTAATAATTGGATAACAATATACAAGCAACATTATAAACCTTACGATACCAACATATACAAAAATGATCAAGTAGAATTTTGGGATAATAAAATAGAAAATGAGGTAAATCATATGTTACAAATATGTTGTTAATAAATGTTTTGATTTAAAGCTTCTTTTTTTAAATGTCTTGTTATTTTTGTATATGAATATAAAGTATTTATAATGATGTCTTTGAATACTTTAATACTATTTTTTATTTTACCCAAACAGGGTTTGTCGAGTACATTAACGGATTGCCATGGAAAATCATATTGTAACAATATGACTACAACATATGATTTAAGCTACAGAATTCTACCTAAGCAATTACAAAAATCTTATAGAATCTATAATCTAAGGTAATTTGTGTTAATATTCGATATTAAGTATTAATTATCTCACGGTATATTCATTCGAAATTTGTTAATTTTTGTTATACAACGCGTTTGTTTAAGAAACATACGTATTAATTAATAAAACTACATTGAAGGAAAAATAAATGGTTACCAGAGCAAGATTTAACTAAAGATTTTGGGAATTTAACAAAAACTGGTATTAAAAATGTATTACAAGTTTGGTGGGATAGTACTTCAAACGATGCAATACAGTATTGCAGATGGAGAACTACGTATCAAGATGAGTACAAAATTCAGGATGTTTCTCTTATAAATAAGAAGTAAGTCTGTTTCTTTGAGATTATAAAATAATGAACTTTCAGTTTTGTGCCTAACAAACAATATTTATGTATATATTTAGATATTTATTATTACTTATCTTTCTAAAGGTTTCATAGAAAACGATTGAACACAAACATATCATATTTAAGCAGCTTAAACCATATCAATGAATATTCGAACAGTTGTCCGGTTGCTTTTTCTAACTAAAATAGCAAAATTGTAAATTGAAAGCAACCTACCTTCCAAAATATTTTCCTTCTTCCATGTTTCTTAAAGATAATAATTTTAGATTATAAAACGTATTTATTATTATAGGAAACTCATTCATATGATTATATTAATTTGTTTGATACAAAAAGTTAAATAAATAGTTAACATTTTGTTCTTAAATTTGTACAATTTTTTATATATAATAGTAGTAATATTTTTTTTCCTTTCTTTTAGAATTACAAAAATTTGATAATAATATTCTATTTACAAACTAATTTAACTTATACTTAAGTCTATTCCTAATCATACCGTTACTGTCAACGTACATCAAGTCACCATTCCTTTTTGCATCTCTATTTACACAAAAATATGTACAGTACGGAAGGTCAAGACCTTAATTATGTTTCATTGTATATTTGTTTACGATACTTATTCATCATCAACTCAATTCGTAACAAGTTTTTCTTATTTTTATTTGAATACAAAATTTCATTTAATTAAGATATATTATTATAACTTACATCTCTGATTAAACTATTGAAATTTAATATAGGAAAGAATGTATTTTAATGCTTGGAAATTTATTTTTAAATGTGTAAACTACTATGCATCAAATTTATAAAAAAGATATTATGAAATCGAGTAAAAGAAAATATAATCTTTGGCAATTTATACAAGTGCTGGACACAATAGAATTATAAATATTATTATATTTTATTTATACATAAAACGCATTATTGAAAAATAAATTATTCTTTTTATCAAAAAAAAAACAAGTACTATATTAATTATTATTAACAATAAACTCATGTAACTGCACAAAATGAACGTTTTTTTGTAAGCATTATGTAGACACACAAAACATAAGTCAATATCGATAAGAATAAAAAATAGGAAATCCTTAGAGTAGTAAAAAGTAAATACAATAATTTTTTTTTAATTATAATATCTTGATTGAACACATTATATTCTTTTTTCTTTTTTTCCTTTCTTTCATCATATCACAAATTTCATGATTCACAGATGCATCAAAATTGTTTTTATATCAAATACGTAAATATCATATGATGTATAAAAACAATACTTTAATTACATGTACAAAGTTGTACTTTGTACGGAGACATTTTTTAAATGCTTATTCGGATAATTATCAGGCTTTTATTAATATGTTATGATATATTGGCAGTATATGAAACGCTATCTATTGACAGCGAATAGATAAATTACGTTCCGTGGTTACGGTAAATACTGAAAAAAAAAATTCTTGAGAAAAAATAAAAATCTGTCTCTTACTAATGGTACTAACGATACTTTCTTAACGCAACAAAGTTGTACAAACTGCTAGAATATTTAATAAAAGCGAACCACACAACAATGCATGTAACCAAAAAGTATTATTTGATACTGTTTTATAAGGTGAATGAATTATTTGTTGTGTGTTCATTGAATTTTCCATTTCATCTGTGCAGATTTTCGACTGTTGCGAATAACACTCGTCATAATTAGCATTATTCTTTGCAAAATGTGACGTTAATATTTGCTGAGGTAACAAATGACTTTGTGAGAATTTCAATGTTTGATGGCACGTTGGATTTTTCGGTTTTATAAAAGAATACGATTGAATAGGCTGACAAAAACGCTTAACTGATTTCACAGTGTTTTGCTTTTGACCATAATATGACAATGATGCGTCCGAGATAATAGAACATTGATCCAATTCGTGAATGGAGGGTTCTCTAGAAGGAGCACAGTTAGAACCGACAGAACCAAAACCAGAACTTTGACTGGATGACCTTGATAATGATGGAGTATCCATGCCTTCTTGCCAATATCCACCAGCAACCCACGACGTTTGTGTTACTGATTTTAATTTAGGCGGTGATAAAATATTCCTTTTGCCAAACATATTATTTGATTTTTTGAATAGATCAGGACTAACTGTACTATAGATTTTCTTTTCAAATATCTTAGGTGTTCTTATTTGGCAATTCGGTACATTGTCATCTGATGAAAATATACTGAGCGTACTCATGCTATCGTCTAATTCAGAATTATCAAATTGATTATTTTTAAATTGTAAAGTAGAACGGATATCTAAATTATTCGTTGATGTCGATAATTTAGATAATTCTGGGCCAGTTCTGTTAAACAACAACAAAATTTAATATAAATTAATATTTTTAAATATTTATATATTAAAGTTGAATTAAATTAAGGTTTGAAGTAAAAAATACATACGTTGATGATAGTGTTGTACCAACAGGATCAGGAATATCAACAGAAACAGGAGTCATTAAATATTTGGTCAAGTTCACTGAAGAATTGGCAGTTTCGTTTAAATCTGTATCTACTTGTTTAACAAACTTCTGTGTACTATTTGTTATTTCGATTTCAGGAAATATTTGTGTTTTGGAATTGTTTATATTTGTTTCTATTTTCTTAAAGAGATCTTTCCTTACTTTAATATTCGATTTGGGTGTAATATTCATGAAACCTATTATTAATGCAAAGCAAATGACCTAAAACATGTAAAATCAAACTTGTGCAATATACGAATATAATAAACATAAAATATTATATTTATTTAAATTATCTATATTACTTTCTATTGTCATCATACAAACTTTTTTTAAATACTAATTTTGTAATACGCACCGCATGATATTGAGTTACATATTCGAGAGAAAACCAATCGTTGTGAAGATCTGTTTTGAGTAATTTATATTCTTTAAAAGATGTAAGTATGATTATACAAATCCATAAAAAAGCCAATAAAATATCAGAATTTCTTCTCTTTGCTGCTCCAGCCCAGCATGCACATAATTGAAAAACTAATCCTCCAATAGGTAACAATAAAAGTTCAGTATTATATACAATAACTGAATCAAAAATAGTTGAAATTACTCTGAAAAACCCTTCGAATTGTTTTGCATTCTGCAATCGAATAAACAAAGACTAATATATTAAGATTTCGCAACTCCAAAATTCATATAAACTTAGATTATTATTAAAAGAAATGATATTACTTACAATAATAAATGTATGATGTAAAGGTTTACGTTTAAAAAACATTATTTTATAATGATCAAGCCACATTTTCTGTTTAGCTAATACATTTTGTACTATGTCATTACAATTTTTACAAAGTGGATATTTTAATTCTAAAGAATCTTTAAATTGTTTAACTTCTTCATAGTATTTTTTTTCATTGGTTGGCTCAAAATTCGAAAGTTGTATTAATTTAACTTTCTGATGTTTATTGCATTTCTTACAAAATGTATTCTTTGAGAACGGTACTGTTTTAGATTTACTATTACAATACTTTATAGAGTTATTGGTAAAAGCTTTATATTGCTCTGGTATATCATACATATAATTTCCATCCTAAAAAAATAAATAATAAAAAAAATTTATAATAAAATTTGTGAATATTATTAGATTCATTTTACAGATTCAATTTTAGCTCATTGAATTTTACTATCTTACTCTCAGATATTTCGGAGAGCATTTTTATGCTTCTTAATACATATGTTTATAAACATTGTTAATCTGATGATATGTCTTGTATCAGTTTTTCTCTTATGTTTATTAAACAAAATTTTTAGTTTCCAGGATTGTAAGCTCAGTCAAGTGCACACGTACTCGATAAATTTTTAAGCTTTTTTTTCTCCAAAACAAAGCCTTATATGACAAAATTTTATTTTATGTGACACATTTTATTCTATATTTTCGTTAGTTTTTCATGTAGAATCATGCCTGCTCGCTTGTACCACTAGTTAGAGGACGCTCTGTATTTTTAATATAATTGGAAAATTACCTTGGAAAATCCATTGAACTGTTCACAAGATGGACATAACCACCAATCGATCTTTTCTCGTCTCACTTTTGTGTTATTATTACAAAACCAGCAATTTACCTTTATAGGCCATCTTAACCTTAACAAGAAAAAGTATTATAATAATAATTATAAATACTTCCAGTTAAAGATATATTCACAATATTCATATAAGCTATAAGTTCTTACTTTAGCTTTTGGAAGACAACAACACACGTGACAAATATTAAAAGAATCGTAATGAAGATGGATATAAAATTACACATCAAGTAATACACAGAATCCATTTTTTCATGTTACTAAATAAACAGTCTTCATTGAAATTTTTTTTAAAACTGCAAACCACTAGCGTTTTTAACGTCGTGAATTTTATTCAGCATCTCCCGCCAAACTCATAGGTCCTTTAACCTTAACCTTACAATTTTACTTGTCATTAAAATTCTGTTATTTCTGTTAGCTCTGTATTATCGATAGCGCATACATATGTGTTATGTAATTTTGTTAACTGTAAAAACATGTAATTACATTATCAAACTAAAACATGAATTGCTAGGAAAAAAAATGATATTTAATAGTTAATTTTTTTTAGTTATTATAACTTACTAAACATTAAGTGCAATTTTAACAATACATATGTATATGTAGGTAGATATATACTTGTATACGTACATCATATACATAATGTATTTTATATAATTGGACAATTTAATAGAAAATATTTACAATGCCAATCATAATAAATTCTTGAGAATATTGACAAATCATATTGTTGTATCTGATGGTCTTTAAATATTATGTAGTTACATAAATTCTATTGAATTTGACCAGATTCTATGAATTATTCATATATGCTTTAAAAACTGGTGATAATGTGTGACGTCATCTGATCAGTATCCAATCAACGAACACTGTCTTATGTTAAGATTATTGAAATGTGAATATTTATTAAGGATAATTAGATAAAATCGATATTAGACTAATAATTTATACATAGAAAATTAATTTAATTGTAATTGATTATAATAAGCATAAAATTCATAGATATTTAAAAAAAATAGAAAAAATTGGATGGTCTGGAGTTTTTATTTGAGGTTATATTAATGACAGCTCATGTCAGTGGATTTAATAAGATTATTTATGCATAATTGTTAATTCATAATTGTGAGAGTAAATCATGTCTGATGATAAACCGAGTTTACCGGTAGCCCCCAAGGATTTATGTTTTTTGGAGCATGAATTTATTCAGGTTTAGTATGATTTTGTAATCTATTTGAAATATCAAAATAATTGAACAGAAATTAAATCAAATTCAAATTGTGTATACAAATATTGTTATAAATATATAATGTATCGCACTGTTTTTGTAAAAAAGTTGTTTTTATTATTAATATCAAGAATTATTTATTATAGGGTAATTTCAATGTGGATACTTTCCTTCAAGACCATAGAAAAGTTGTGAAACTTGAAACTATGAGAGATGATTTAGGAATGTATTTGAAATTATTAAGATCTGCAATGATTGATTTAATTAACAGAGATTACACGGATTTTGTTAATCTTTCAAGTAATCTCATCGGTCTTGACAAAGCAATTAATGGCTTGGAAATACCACTTAGCCAACTCAGAGAGGAAGTCATGGTAATCAATTTTTTATCTCATTGCAATATTTTATCTGTAGATATATTTACACAAATTTAGTTTAAGAAAGCATTGAAAATTAGATCTTTCAACACTTTATTGTCTGGTATTTGTCAAAGACATTTATTTGCTACACCAACGTGATGTCGTATGCTGTGGGCATAGTGATATATAATTTTAATTATATTATGAATTATAAAATAGACAATACTCTTTTAGACTAACTATGTGTATGTGTGTGTGTGTATGCATTATGTTTCTAATTTTTATCATTTCTTATTAGCAAATACAGCAAACTTTAGATGACGAAATAACAATTCTATCCGATAGTCTGACCGATGATTGTCAAATAAAATTACAGAAACAGAGTTTACACAGCTTGCAATGTGTTTACAAATGTTTAAAGAAATTGTCATCGATGTTATCGGTGGATAATTATATGGAAAGTTACACGAAAATAGATGTTTTAGAACAAGCTACAGCAGAACTAAATCATTTAAAATTTCATATATCCAGATGCAGATCAGATATTTCTGTAGATCAACAGACAGTATGTATTATATTTTTACGAATACATTTGAACAATATTTCTTAAATTACACTATTCAGTATTAAATCAAATGAAATAGTAAATTATAAATGAAAGAACATTTAAAAGTATGCTTAAATACATTTTTTTTCTTTTTACAATAAAGTTGTATATAAATTATTCTACTAATATGAAAAATTTTATATAGGAAAGCAAGAAATTAGAAGATCTTCTAATAATGCATCTGAATGAGTTATTTTTAGCTTGTATACATGAGAAAGATAATAATTTATTAATTCGTTGCTTGAGAATCTATATTATGCTTGATAATATTACAACTGCAGAATCAGTGGTAAGAAGAGATGTCATTAGTCCAATTATAAGTAATATACTTCAAGATGAAAACTCACAAACTGAATTTAATAATCTTCAAAGTATTTACCATAGATTGTTAAATATTTTAAGCGGAGAACTCAAACAACTTTTAGACATCACGTTATACTCCAATAGGTATCTCACATTTTTTGTATTAATTGAGTTATATGATTAATAATAAATATTTATATTCATATACATAAATATAAATTATTAATTAAATTTTATATAATGTAAATATTGTTTGAATTATATTTTAGGATAAAAGTAAAGGGTTTTAATTTTTTAGTAAATAGTTTTTGGATTGAAATAGAGGAAAAAATAGATCAGGAGTTGAAGTATATTTTTGCACCTGGAAATCCTGAGTTGTTTCATAAAGTAAGTGATACAACAAACTCGAAGATTATATATAAATATAAATTTTTTTAATGACTTTTGTTATTTTATATTTGCAGAGATATACAGAAACAATGTGTTTTCGTAAAAAGCTTGAAGAATTTTATGACGTGCCTGCACGTGGAAGCATCTTGAAAGATCATTTACAATATAAAAATTTTCTTAAAAAATGGAATTTACCAGTTTATTTTCAAATTCGATTTCAAGAAATAGCCGGTACAGTCGAGACGGCTTTTAAAGAGCCAATTTCATCTGACTTGATTAAAGGATCTGCCAATATTTTAATGTTAGAAGAATTTTCTCTTCATACAACGTTTATAGTTTGGAATAATTTGCATAGGATATGGTCTGAAAATATATATCTTTCTCAACTTTTTCAAGAGTAAATAATATTTTCAATAAGCGTGCTATATAATATTAAATTCATATCGGTAGTCCTCTTTTTTTTAAATAATTGTTTACAGATTTTGGAAATTGACTCTGCAAGTATGTTCAAGATATCAAACATGGGCTTGTACAGCAGTTAAACAAGTATATATGATATATAATTTATTTCTTCATTAATAAATATATGTAAAACAGTAATTAATAAACTTTAATTAATGTTCTATATATAAAGAAATTGCAAGAAAGTAAAAAATCTGAAGGTATAGCGAATAGCAATAATAATTCTAAATTGGATTTTTTAATACATTTATACTGCGACGTAGAAAAATTTGTTAATGGATTACCAAATCTCCTACGGATAGTACAAGTAAAAAATCCAAACCAAAATTCAACTACATCGAAATTATTAGAAGGTAATTTATTGATTATAATCCAATATGTTTTACTAGAAAATTTAAGGATTTAGATATTATTGTAAATATTATTTCAGATTGCTTGACCGAAACATCTAAAGCAATTAAAATGATTTTGCCACTTACAACAGAAGAAATTGTAAACGAACTTATAACACACTGCGTGATATACTTGAAACAAGTAAGCGACATTCCAAGATTGTATAGACGTACTAATAGAGAAGTACCTACTAAACCTTGTGCATATGTTAAAAATGCACTGAGTTTTCTTGCCAATTTTCGTAATAATTATAATGACTTTGTACCAACAAATGTTACGACGTGGCTACAATTGGCGCTGTCTTTGTTAACTGAACGGTAAGTAAACGAACATAAGGAAATATATTAATTTAAATATATAGTAAATATAACTATTTTATAACATATACATATTCTCATTTTAGTTATTTAACATCGGTAACAGATGTATTGACATCTGTTCAAAAAACAGAAGAAAGTTTAAGAAGATTGAAAAGAATACGTGATAAATCGACAGGTGTACTCCCGCTAGATTTTCAAGGAATTACTGATGATGAAAAAATCCGTATTCAGTTACAAATTGATGTCAATGCATATAGCGCAACTGTGAGTATTTAATAAATTATTATGATTTATTAATATCTTTGTGTGTGTGATATAAAAAATCATATATCATTGAGTTGTATAATGTTTCAGATTACTGAACTCGATATACCAGTTTCAAATATATCACATTTACAAGAATTATCACAAGCTGTAGAAGCAGCTTTAAAAAAGTAATATTTTTAAACTGTTCATTACATTTCGCTCAGTTCGTATGACTTAAACGACAGGTGTAAGAAAATAAATGAATAAAAGCGTGTTAGAAGAACGCTATATTTTTCTTGATTTATTATTTGGGTGTATATAAATACACTGTGCCTTTATATCATTCACGTAGATGAATCGAAGAACTGAGTTAATGAACATCAAACAATATAAAATAGTTAATTTTTTTTCAGAACAACTCGCATGAAATCAATACATATTTGGTAAACAATAATAAACATGCAATTTATAGATTGATTAGTTAGACATGTACGATGATTACAATATATGTGTATATATACGTAATATATTCCACTATTTCTTTTGTAACAGGTAAAAATCTATAAATCGATATTATATCATTAAAAAGTATATTTCTATATAAAAACTATGAAGATACCAATATATATAACTTCTTGACAAATTATTATTTATATTTATTATAAAACAACGTGCATTATTTCTTCTGTATTTAATAAAATAATATTCATAGCAATAAAATACTAATAATATTATCTAGAAGAATTATTACATATGCAAAAAAAGATTAGTAAATTTTATAGAATTCCATAAGACTTGTGAAAAGATCAATTTATTATCTTACCGGTAGATGACGTTATGTATTAATTCGTCGGCCATTCTTAAAGTTTTTCATTTATTCTTGCCCATTCTCGTGGATATAACCTATTTGTGAATATAACCTCTATAATATGTGAAGCGGTGAATTTAAATAATATTGAGTCTTTACGTATTATTGATAGTTTAAATGTTTGAATTTTATATACTATTCAATTTTATAGTAAATATTTATTTGATAATAACAAATTGTTCATGTAACGTACATAAACAACATAGGTGCATTTGTTAAATTATTATCTAGATAATTTAATACTTATAAATAATATTTTCATTCTTTAACAAATAACAAAATATAAATAAAAGAAATAAAAAATGAGTTGTGCTATATTAAATCGATTAGTATTAATACCGTGTAGGCAGAGTATAAATTGTGGTATTTACCGTAAAGTTGAAAATGTGTTTACGTTCACTCAAAAAAAGATTACTGTACCACTAAGTTACTCTGTAAATATGAATGTATTTATTTCCTGTAGATCTTTTCATAAGATTCAGTTTCTCCAAAGTATTGCAACTAATAAGACAGGAATTCAAGAGAATATTTCAACGCTTCAATTAAAAAAGAGATCAATAAGGAAAAATAAACAAGTGGTAGGAGAAGAAGCATCTTTAACTCCTGGAGTAAGTTAAATTCTCTTCTTCTCTAAATAAAATTAAAAATAAATTTTTAATTGAGAAAATTACGTTATTAAGTAAAGTTCATTATTTTAATAGTTTTAATAATTAGATTCTATAACATTAATTAAAAGTATTTTTTTTCCGTTAGGTTTGGATCATAAAAGCATTGGCTACAGCGGAGGAGTATAATTTAGAAAACTTAGAAGCAGGACTCTTAAGTCAGCAGCTGTATATCCCTCAGAAGATTTGTACATCTACAAACCGTAAGTAATAAATACAATTTTATGCTATTATAAAATTTAATTTAATATCTAATCTATTAGTTTTACATAAAAATAAACTTAAACTTTAGATGTCAAGATATATAATGATAAACACAAATTTATGTTTCTTATATTTAAAAAATGTTTTCTGAATTTTTTTACTAATAAGTTAAATGCGAATTAGAAACATTGTTGAAAAATAAGGAATATAATAATTCATAACAATTATTGATTATCTTTTTGAAAAAAATCTATTAAGTTGCTCAAAAAGTTTATGCCGATTTATGAATACAAGGATATGTTTCTATACTAGGCTCAAAACTTTTCAGTTCATTCACGTATATATTTAATTTACATTTTTAAGTATGTATAAAGATTTTTGTAAATCAGCATGAATTTTTCGGGCAACTTAATGGTACAAATATTGAGTTATCCGAAAAGTTCGTGCCGATTTAGTGAAAAATTAATGTACAATAAAAATATTTATCTAATATCTATTAATAGATCGGCATATTCCAACTTTCGGGCAACCCAATCCATATAGATTTAAAATCAGTGATGTAATTTTCTTATTGATTGGACAAGCAGTAAATTCACGTGATTAACCTTATCCAATGAGCGTTTAACTTTATTAATATATGTACATATTAATATTTTTAAAAAGTACTCGAAAAAAAGATAAGAAATGTAGATAACCATGCATTATTTATCATACAAATTATCTTTAGTTGTTCATATTTAATTTACAAGTGTATTGCAAAAAATACGTATATACATACGTACATACATACGTTTTAAAAGTGTCTTTTTTTGATCATTCTTTTTTCTGAAAATTACTAAAAATTAATCAGGAATATAAATATATACATATATATATATATATATGCTATGTGTATTTTTTCATTTTCATAGTTATGTCATAAATCGATCACGTGGTTTCTATTCGTCAAATATAATTTTTTATTGATTTTATTTATCCTATTTTTATGATCATTTATTATTGGCTTATGAATATAATTTTTAAATGAAATTATTTGTACAAAGATATATATATATGTGTGCTTGACACGTGCATGCGTGTGTTTGTGTGTTTGTTATTTGAATTATAAGAAAAACATATAAAGAAAGAAAGAGAAATTAAAATATATTCTTATTAAAAACCAAAGAAAGTGTAAAATAGTGAAAGTGTTTTAACATTACTTCTATAGTAACAACAATTACGACAGTTTTTGTAAGAATTTGATGAAAAATTATAGCGCTCAATATATTTGAAAAATGAGCAATAATAAGATACCATGCATGGATGTTCCATTTTCGTTACCTTCAGCAAAGAAAGAACAACACGAATTGGTAGAGAAAGCAATTGATTGGGCGCTCATGCATGGAATGTGTATGAGATCGAAGATAAATTTCAATAGAAATATGTTACAATTTGCACCATTTATTCTGTTACCATCGCCATTTCCCAGAAAAGAATTTGAAAAAGCCTGTCGTATTCAACCAGTATTAAATCTACTTATACACGAAGTAGCACATGATTACAATTTTTTAAAAGAGACTTTAAAAGAAACGATAAAAGTTGATCATTTTACTAGAATGCTTTTCAATATATATGAAACCATCTATGAGGAAGGAATTACGCAGAAAATTTCTTTGGGTCTACTTCGATCAGATTTAATGTTAGATACTAGTTGTGCAGAAGGAAACGAATATAGACAATATATACCCTATTGTTGTTGGAAACAAGTAGAGATAAATACAATAGCTTCTGGATTTGGATGGTTGGGACAAGCATCCACTAGGTTACATAGATTTGTATTACAAGAACTTGGATATAATGATCAGTTGAATAATCTTCCTGAAAATAATGTATTGCAAGAGTTATGCGCAGCTATGATCAAAGCATGGACATTATATGGAGATTCACAGTGCGTCTATTATCAAATAGAAATATAATATTATACTTTGTTTGTTTGATATTATTTTTTCTATAGAATGGATAATATTGTTTTCAGAGCTATTATTTTATTTATTGTTGAAGACATTCCTTATAATATATGCGATCAACGTTTTCATGAATTTGAAATAAAAAAGCAAAACCCTAATATTAAAGTAATTCGACGTACTCTGACTGAAATGATTACTACTGCCAAATTAGGGTCTAATAAGGAATTAATAGTGGATGATTATATTGTAGCATTAGTTTATTATAGATGTGGTTACGAACCTGGACAATACCATACAAAAAAAGAATGGGATGTTAGATTATTAATAGAAAGATCTTTAGCAATTAAGTGTCCCTCTATACAATATCATTTAGCAGGAACCAAAAAAGTTCAACAGGCTCTAGCTAAATCTGGAAATGTTGCGAAATTTTTAAAGGATGAAAATAATGTTACAAATATTAAAGAAATATTCACTGGTTAGTATAATTATACTACTTTCATATGCAAGTATATTGCATACCTGCAAATATTTTTTCCCTCTTTTCCTCTTTTATTTCTTAGGCTTATATGCTCTTGATTTTGATGATCATGGAAATGAAGCTATAGAAATGGGTATTAAAAATCCTGAACAATTCGTATTAAAACCGCAAAGAGAAGGAGGATGTAATAATGTGTATGGAACGGATATAAAAAAGTTCTTGTTAGATATTAAGAATAAACAAGAACGTGTAGCATGGATTCTTATGAATAAAATTATTCCACCGAGTCAATTAAATTATATGATTAGACCAGAGAGTAATAATTATTTACAGCCAAAAGAATTAGTTTCAGAATTAGGAATTTTTGGTGTTATTATTGCCGATCATAAAAATATATATGTTAATAAACAGGCTGGTCATATGTTAAGAACTAAATTAGCTACTGCCAACGAAGGCGGAGTAGCAGCTGGTTTAGGCGCATGTGACAGTCCTTTGTTAGTAGATTAACGTACTTTTGATGATTATCATTTTCTACTAATAATAGGATATAAGTAATTATTAGCTATTAAGTAATATATGTTTTCTACGTTATTATAAAAATTTATTACGAATAATATTGGTAAATAGTTTTTATTGACAGCTATTGATAAAATGTGTAAGAATTTTCATAGGATTTTATAATCATCATATGTGTAATATGAAAAAATATTGATAACGTATTTATAAAGAGTTTTGTGGTATGTATGTGTGTATGCGCGTGTTTTATATGATAAAAAATATATGATGATATATATGTCATCGTTGTATTAAATTCACTTAATAAAAATACATTGCAGGTATAAAATTTGCACGAAGAAATAATATAATAGTATAATAAATATGTTACCAATTGTTGTTTCAATTTTCTTCGCAGCTTTACCAGATGTTATTCATGCAATAGCAAAATATGAGGTAGGATACGAACCGAGAGAATTATATTTTTTCCGGGAAGGTACAGTCGTTATGTGGAATATTCCTGATCTGGAAAGTGGGAACATATTAAAGTTTTTAAAACATTTTGAAGAAAATAGTTATACGTCGGAATTAATTCACGCGGAGAGTGAAATAATGACTTATACGTATACAGAAAACGGGTGAGTAAATCGATTGAATGTTAAAATTGATTATGAAAGAATTAAATGCGAACTAGAAATTACTTTAACATATAATTTGATTAATTTTACAGAAAAAAATGTCATATTAAGGATGGAAATATAATACTTACAAAAGATGCTACAAATTTAGAAAAATTTACGTTTTCCAATGCAATGGCACAATCTGTAAAACTTGGAATCTGGGAAGCATCGTTATGCAATTATATAAATACGGTTGAATTTGTGACGGAAGATTTAAGGAGTGGTCAAAAGTTACGAATGTCACAACGCGAGGTCCTTAGGAAACAAGGCGAATTATTTGCATTAAGGCATTTAATTAATTTAAGTTCAGATTTATTGGACACGCCTGATTTTTATTGGGAACGTGACGATTTGGAAGATTTATATCAACAAATATATGGATACTTCAATATAGCAAAACGTACAAGGGTAAGATATAAATGATAAATAGATACTTCAATATTTTCCTCAAATAAAATTAATTTGTATATTTCTGCAGGTGATGAACGAAAAATTAAATCATTGCGTGGAGCTCGTCGCAATTCTTTCCAGTCATTTGAGTGATCGACATCACATTCGTTTAGAATGGATGATTATAATTCTTATAATGGTAGAGGTCGCATTTGAAACTTTACATTATATTGATAGATTTCTTGTAAAATAGATATTACATAGGTATTTCCATATACATATATTAAGCGTACATTTTTAATGTGTATAGAGTTGAAAAACATTCATTAAACTATTGTACATATATTTAAAAATGTAATTTTTAAGAAAAATATATGTACATTAATTTATTCATATTCTTGCTGCGATAATATTTTATTATTATTTTACAAGAAAACTGACTGAACAATGTAATTTATATAGATTTTTAACAAAATATTTACACAAGACGCTACATTTTATTTGTAATCAATTTAAAATTTATCGATCGTTAATGTTAAAAGTTATTTAAAAAATAACAAATAAAGCAAAAGATTAATGAAATCAACATGATTCGTTAAATTTTATCCAGCTTATCCGTGTCCATCGCATTTACTTTTCTTTTTACCTAAACTTGAAATATACTGCAGTCATTTTTGCACGGGATTTTATTAGTATAGTATTTAAATATACTTTAACCCGTATACGTATATCACAACGCGACATACTTTTATTATTTGAAGATGTGTTGTATACGCATTCATCCCTACGTGACTGCATTGCCGAGTATTCTACTGTATTTTATCTCTTTGATTGTTTCTTATTCCTTTTATTTTATTTTTCAATATCAAATCCAAGCTACTATTTATTCAATCTATTCAATTTATTCAATCAATTACTTAACATTTATTCTAGTAAAAAAATATATAAATAGTGTATACAAAGTATACGCGATATAAAATAAAAATAATTTCAATTATTTATATATTATATATATATGTTACTTAAAAATAATTGTCAATAAATATAAATAAGATCATTATGAAATAATGAAGCTTAGAAGTAACTTTTACAAAAAGAAAAAAGTACGTAGAGTTATAATATTGTTAATATGTAACATTTAAGAGAATGTGTTACACATTGATGTATTACAATGCCACCTGCCTTCGTAGGTGTAGAATTAAAACCATAGTGTATATAGCGTTCTATACTGAAGCTTGAAAATCCAAAGCAAGAAGGAGATAGTTTGTAGAAAGTAGGAAAACATTTATTTGTGAGGTGAGCAATAATGAGGTCGAGTGATAGATAGTGCGCGAGGGGCCAGGGTCTCTCTCTTTCCCTTCCCCATCACATTTTCCCTTCTCCATAACTCTTTCCCTTCTCTTCTTCCTACATTCTCACCCTCGGAGTGCCCTCATGCCGCAGTGATGCGTGCGATGATGAGCCGTACGGAGGAACAGAGTTGATCCTGTTGACCGTTTTACAAATTAGCTCAAGGTTACGATTAAATCTTTCTTTATATTTATTTCTTTTACATTGCAGGACTTTTCTTTTTCATTTATTTTATTGTTGATAGTTTTTCGAGCTGTGAACACGAAAAAAGGCTGCTGTCACCTTATCTTCCACGAAAAAGAAAAATAAGAAGAAGCCTGTTTTCCAGAAGACTCGAACAATCAACGCTTTCAAAATTCTTGGACGTTTGTAAGTTTTTTCTTTGCATGACCTAACAAACGCACATTTTATTCTAGTCCAGTGTCATATGGTAATAAAACGATAAAAAAGATGTACTTTGATAAGAAATGCTTTATCAGAAGGACGGATGTGGGAAGTCCTTTTTCAACATATCGTCACATCTGCTTGCTATTTCGATTTTAATTTCATTCAGTTTTAATGATTTATGTATAATATATAATATTTTCTTTTTTTTTTACACGTATCGATCGATTATGTCTATTTTAATATCGCTTTTGTCAATTATATTTGTAAAATAATAATTTTATATTTATTTTAGAATTATTTTCATCTCGTTTGATCATACGTTTAACGATTTTCTCTTAATACTTATAAAAATATCTTTATGAATTATTCTTGAAAATCGATTACGCATGACCTATACTATTAGTTAATCTACGAACATATTCTAAAGAAAGAAAGAATAAATTTATTATTATTATTATTATTAGTATTATTTAGGAAGAACGTAAAAAAAGGTATCTGACGTCGATATTGTTTGTAAAAATGAGAAAAAAAGAAGAAGACAATGTTCGAATTTGTTAGGCTGTCATGCTCAGAAGAATAAAATTAACTTCAGTTTAACTCTATATCCGTATTATTGTTAATATTTGAAAGACAATACTTTCAGCTTCGTCGAGTTTTTTTTTCCTTTTTCTTTTAGTTTATAAGTATATATACTTAAAATGACTTAGAACCGCAACACAACTGTTGCACATGCAACATGCTATGACGTGGGCATACGAGCAACTCTTCAAGGAAAAGTCGATACTCGCGTTTTTATCTCTCTCACTCTTTATCACTCTCTCTCTTTCTCTCTTTAACTCTTTCTCTTTCTCTCTTTCGTTCAAGTGCAAGCTCTGTAGGATACATAGAATGACGGCCAGCGTCATGAGCTTTCGATTGATCGTCCTTCAACGCACGTAATACTGTCGCATTCGCTTTTTACAGACTCGTATTTAATGTCACACAGCAGAAATTTCTATCTTAACAAGCTGACCTGATAAAAAAATTATACATTTTTCCTTCATTTACGTATTTTCTTTTTTTCTTTTTCTTTTATTTGCAACGAGTATCAAAATTATTTGCAAATTCTTAAAATACTAAATATGCTTTCATTAGAATTCACACACACACACACACACATTCTATGAAATACGTATAATTTTCTTAACAGCAGCTGTCAGCTGTTGTTGTTAATAGAATTGCAATAACTTCTTTTATTTATTTATAACTTTTTCTTGTACATTTTAATCATTTATAGTAAAATTTTGTTCTTTTTTTCGTTCGTTAATTTTTCTAATAATGTGCCAAGAATTTATATATATATATATATATATAAATAATAATAATAATAATAATAATAATAATAAATATATACAGTAATAAGTATATATAAATATGAAGAAAATACTTCTTATAGGAATCATCATATCGATTTTAGTAGACGTAGGCTTTAATAAGAAGTTTCTAACATATACCAATACACATTTCTCTATAATATCACGAGCGATAGAATTACTGAGATGTAAAAAGTTGTTATCTATTTCTATCTATATAATTTCCCCTGTATTATATATAACAATCTACCTGGTGAAGACATTAACTAATCGAGTTTATTCAAAATTGAGTTCTCCTCTCTTCCTTTCCTTCCTGTATTCTTCACCTTTTAATATCATTTGATTTCCTGTAAAGCTTTTTTACACAGTTAAAAAGTCTTTCAAATTCGACTATAATTTCCCTGATACAGTAAAATTTTAAAATTACAAAAGTTCTAATAGATCATATAGAAAGAAAATATTAAAAAGAGCTTATCATATTCAATTCGAATTTTCGATGATAATCTTTCAAAAATAATTTTAAAGTAAATCAGTTTAATATCGATATAAAGCTAACGTTTATCTGATCAGAGTCATTTATTGGTGTTTCCACTGATGTTTTTGATTCTTTTTTAAATTACAATATGGATCGTCGTTTACAAATATCCTGTTTTTAGAGGAAGGATAACATGACGCGTCGGTGCTTTCTATCTTGTACGTCGATCGCTCGATGGAACAAACCTCTCCCATGACGTATGTACGGTGTTTGTGAGCCGGGATATAAAGCGTGTAAAACGTATTAACGCAATTATGGATATGACCATGGGGGAACCACAGAGTATAGGAACACGTTGGGTTTGTCCAAACGATCGACACTTGGCGTTAAGAGCTAAGTGAGTTATTTTGTAATAATTATTTCCAATAAAACGATCCATTTGATCGATAATATTTTAATTACTTATTATTACTAATTAATTTTTCTTTTTTTATCATACAGATTACGAACAGGTTGGTCAGTAAAGACAGGATACTTGGACTCAGGATGGAACAATTATTCAAACGTTGGTGGTAACAACCGTGCCAACCAATCTTTCGTATTGACGGAAGAAGAACGACGTACAATTATACAAGTAAACAATCTTAAATCCATAATTAATTAAAAAATATTAATTTAATAAACAATTTTTTTTGTATGCATTGAGTTATTTGACAAATTTGTGCTTATTAATACTTTTAACAAAAATCGACACGAACTTTCTGAGTCAACCCTAATATTAAATATCAATTTTTATTTCGTATAGTTTTGCTTTTTTTCAATCTTCTCTTTTTTAAATATTTTTCACTGATAAATAATAAAATAAAAAGTGTCTTCGTCATTTTTTTTTCTTTTTTCTTTCTTCTCCCCCAGGTGATTCAAAGAGCGGAGGCGTTAGATTTATCGGAGCAGAAACGCATCGGCAGGCTGGTTGAGAGATTGGAGGACATGAAGCGCAACGTTCGCATAATCACTTCCAGCCGATCGGACGAACGAAGAAATTGTGGTAACCGATGTTCCGGTGGTTCGCGTTGTGTCTGCTCTTGTGCCCTATGCGGCGAAAAATTCGGTGCAGTTTTAGGGGCCACCCCAACGTTCTGCAAAGATTGTAGGAAATACGTTTGCCAAAAATGTGGTAAAGAGGCAAATACGCCTAATGTATTAGCTCTCACCACCAATACCGAAGTTATATCTGCAACTACATGTAACACGTTAGCGAATGAGACTCTACCAAAAAGAACTGCAATACAACGAATCGTACAGAGGACGTCGAATAATCCACAAAAGATATTTCTTTGTCGTATTTGTATTGAGAGCAGGGAGATTTGGAAAAAGAGTGGAGCTTGGTTCTTTAAAGGAATGCCGAAGCATGACCTTCCGAAGAAAAAAGTACGTTTCGGTCACTCACATCAGATTCATTAAATTGTTATTTATAATCGAATGTGCGCACGAGATAGAAAGAGAGAGAGAGAGAGAGAGAGAGATGAAACGTGAAAAAAGTTCACCGTTTAATTATCAATTGTTTGTATGCGTAGGAACGTGATTGGTCCCGGGCGGGTCAAAGGACACAGAATTCGTCTTGTAAAATCATCAGTGCTTGCAAATCTTTGGAATCTAACGAAGTTCAGGATTCCTCATCGGAAGAGGAGGCTGCTCGACGTTTAATCGGCCCAAATAACTGTTGTTCCTCTTCTTCTCCGAGTTTGCAAGGTATCCAAGATATCAATGATTTGTCCAAACAGCAACAACAACAGATCACTCCTTACGATACTCAGACGGCAAGTGGCTCTTTCAAAATGAAATCTCGATCGAATAATCGATCGTCACCTACAGGCCATCGAGATGAGAGTCCTTCGACAACAACAATGGATAGGTTGGACAAATCTTCGACATTTTCAATCTATTCGCAGTGCAGTCGTTTATCGTCATCCACATCAGCAGCAACTCTACGTAACGCGTCTCGTACGAATGAAAAAAGTACATGTGATTTAAGAGCCGATCAACGTGGTGGAGACAATTCCATTGATGACAATGCGCCAATCGAGGAGATCAAATTAGAAAATGAGGGTGACGAACAGGCTAACTACCTCGAAGATTCTCGCGGTTCTGTCGATCGGTGTAAGGATTCTCAGGTACAATCAGTCAGGTACGTAGTAACGATGCTCGGCAGAGTAGAGGTTTGACTCGGGCGTCTTGGACGCATTCTTGTAGACGGAATTCGCCGTCGACCATAACACCGAGCACTCTGATGGAACGAATTCTGGAAGAGGCTTGGATGCACGAAAGAAATGCCGAATGCGAGGCGAATGCCTCCTCAAATCGGACGAACGATCAACAAACTATCAGCACATGGTACGTGCATCACTCGGACTCACCAAGGAAGCAAACGTCGAATTACATCGAAAGTCGGTATCTCGAATTTATTGTTTTCAATTATTACTAGTCTGATGACTCTTGATAACTCTTACATCTTAATAAAGATTATTATAAGAACTTGTATCTACATGATACGATAAGAATATGTATATTTGTCCGGATCACTCAGTGAGGAGGTCAGAAACGGAGGAAAGCTTTGGGACTCTGGAAATCTCCTTGCTATACGACCCAGTGGCTCAGTGCCTCCAGTGCAAAGTGGAACGAGCATTGGGATTAAAGCCTATGGACATCCACGACCTCGCCGATCCATTTTGCAAAATCACCATACTGCCGATGGGAATGGGCACAAATATCAAGCCAATAAGAACGAAAACTGTTCACAAGACACGAGATCCAGTGTTCAACGAGACGGTGAACTTCTACGTTTCGAGAGATGCCGATGTACGAGTAACGATAATTACAGTGATCATTAAAGTTTTCTTATTTTTAATGAGAATACGATTGAATGATCGCGACAGATGAAGAGTGGCAGAGCCTTACATGTCATGATACTTCAAGACGACCCCTGGGGAGAAGACTTTCTAGGGGAGGCGAGGTTTCCCCTGTACGAACTAGAACCGTTCCAGACGAAGCACTACAAAATCAACCTCCAAAACCATTATCCGGTCTGCTTGTATATTCGTTGGAAACATAGATAAAATAAATAGTATTTATTTAGAAAATGCTAGTTAGTCAATGTATAACTTCATCATATTCCAACATTGTTCTAGGTGAGTCACGAAGAAGAGGCTTGGGATCTTCATCGAGGCAACCGAGGTCAAATACAACTAACTCTGAGCTACTGTACCCGTCGACGAGCCCTACTGGTTATTATTCATCAAGCTATGAATCTTTTGCCCATGGACAACAACGGGTTTTCTGACCCATTTGTGAAGCTATGCCTTGTAGAGAATGTGATCGAGAATCGACAGCAACGAGGTCACGATCCTCCCGGACGTACCAACACGAAGAAATATCTCAGCAAGAAACTGGCCGTAGGTCGCAGCTCGTACAGCACGAGCGTCAAATGGAAAACTCTCAACCCAGAGTGGAACGAAGAGTTCGTTTTTGGGATTCGATTAACAGACCTCATGAAAGTCACGTTATGCCTCTCTATGTGGGACAAGGATTTCGGCAAGAGTAATGATTATCTTGGTAATAATGTTCATTTAGTAATGACACGACTGCCGTACGAATTCTTCGTATTATCGATATATGATTTTGGTTTATGGTATTTTATTTAGGAGGACTTGCATTAGGATGCAATAGCAAAGGAGCACGATTACGACATTGGATAGATGTCATCAAATTTCCCGATTATCGTCATCCCGCTTGGCACAATTTAACAGAAGTTCTTATGCCAATAGAGTAATATTTTTCAGTGGCACAATTCATATGGAACTCTGTAGAAAAGTTGAAAATACCGATCTCAACGTTGACGCGTTAAAGAGGCAATAAAAGGTTTGAGTCACATTGAAAGGTATTGCCTAAGGAACCAACGTCTATATTGCATATTACAAAGTATTTTGAAAATAAGTATAATAAAGATAATTATAGTTAGTTTACCGAATTTATTCCTTCTCTTCTTCTTTTTTTCCTTCAAGCAGAATATTAAAATCATTATATTATATATATATAAATTATTATGCATTTATTATACGAATGTATATACATTTTGTTTGTAATTCAACTTATCGTATTACAAAATATGTGAAATAATAATGGAAGTCATATTTTTTCTTTGTATGCACAATTATGTGTTTAATCGGTTTTAGAAGAAGAAGAATCTTCCGATTCTTGTAACCAATTGATAAAAGATTGTACTGCGTTTTTTACTTTTTTGATTTGAATATCATCATTTTCATCATTGGATTCATGCCATTCTAAAATTTTATCTTCAGACAATATATCAAGAATATAAAACAAATGTAATACATTTTTTAAATACGGTAACAATTCTTGGGTCATGCTAGCAACTTCTTCTATAGCATGTAAACAATCTTCTTGTGCTAGCTCAGTTTTAACGTAATTCAAAATAATAGGTTTAAAATAATGTATCATAACTTTTAAATTGTTATAATAATTCTGATTATTAATCGGAACTTTAGTCTCAGCCAAATAGTGTGATGGCAAAATCAATATTGCTTTTATGACATTATATGTAACTTCTCGCATGTTAACATTGTATGCATATCTTGATGAATTTATTTCTAATATTAAATTATCACAATTCAATTTATCTTGAAAACCTCTTAACAAACTATCAATAACTTCTGATAGAAATAAACTCGTGTCATCGAGAACCGGAGAACATTGTCGCGAGCTTTCGTTCGTACTTGATTCATCCGTTGAATCGCTATCATATTCTATAGCTTCATTATCTTTAAAAAACAACAATCTTTCGTCGACATCTTGATCCGACATTTTTGTATTTATTAAATTACCATTTTTCATTTCTAGAATGGAATCAATATATAGTTTTTCTGGATTAATGGTCGTTTCCGAATTTAATATACATCCGTCTAATTTAGCATTTTGCTTAATATCGCAGTTAGAAAAAATTATACTATCCGTAATTTCACAACCGCTTCCTATTTTGACGTTGGAAAAAATAAAAGAATTTTTTATAATCGCCACTCGATCTATCGAACAATTATCGCCTATTACAGATTTAGTAATAAAGCTTTTTTGTCCGAGTGTACTGTTTTCTCCGATTAAACAATCTTTTTCTAACGTGCAACCTTTAGCCAGAGTAACACTTTTGTGCTTATAGCTGCTTCGAGATATAGAAACAAAGTTTTTTAATGGACCAAACATTCCTGGTGCATGCGGGTAGCCACGTCTGTGCAAAATATCACGACTTAGAGTATAATATGTTTTCCATGATGTAATTGGTAAACTATAATTGTCCGAACTCAATTGTTGATAATGAATTCGTTCGCCTAGTATTTCTTCGTTCATTAAAACACCTTTAATAAAATCTTCCATTGTCTGTATGATATAAAAAAAAGAAAGAGAGAGGGGATAAAATATAATAATTAAATATTTCCATATGTACATATATATGTATAAATATTGAACACTGTTCACTTACTTGAAAGTCAAAATTATCAGCAAATAAGACAAGTACGGCGGGTGAACATAAATATACATGTGTGTCTATGAAACACGTGCTAATATCAATTTCGCTATTATCCAAGAACCAATTCAACTCTAATTTAATTTTCTTCTCATCGTTCTTCAGTTTCTTATAAAAAAATATTTTATTATTGGCTTTGTTTGACACTACCAGAGCAGTTTCTTCTCTTAAGAATGAGTCGTTGGTACTACCAACATTTCTAAGTAGCATCGTCATTGCTGCACCCTTATCCATGTTTTCTTTTTTGCAATGGACATTTAAGTAATTTCGTAAATCATAATTTATAAATGCATTTCCTCTAATCAATATAAAATGACCGCGTATCAAGCATTTGGTGTCAATGTCTCTGAGAGCATCACCTAAAGATCTACATCCATCAGAAACAATTAAATTAATGATAAGATCTTCGTACTCTTTTTCTTTAACATATTTTTTTAACAAGTCAATATGACTGCTACAATACAAAAATAATTCTTCTACTCTGGATATTTTTAAAGTTTCTATAAGATAGTCCAACAAAGGTACATTTAAAACTGGTAATAACATGCTTGGAAATACATCCTGCACTGGAGTCAATGCTGTTGTAAAGTCGTCAGTTAACACAACAGCTTGTAAAGTATCCTTTTTCCTTAATTTTGTAGCCATGTTTTCCTTCACAATTTTGTACCTCTTATAAATCAGATAGAAATATTTTCTAAATCAAATCCATATGCCAATAGCATATTTCTACTGAAAATAGACAAACATATGTAGCTAACTTAACCTAATCTAAGTTAATTTAATTTAACCTAACCTAATCAAACAGGAAATTATTTGCTTAAATTCCACCCGTTATTATTATCTTCAATGAATTTATTTAAAATTTGAGGTAAACATTAAATCCGATTGGCCCATTTTATATTGCAGTACATTTAACATGCGAAAATAATGTTATTGATGTAAAAATTTTCTTTTTCCGCCCTCTTCAAAGTTTTATCAAAATTAAAAGATTGAAGAAAAATCGAGAAATAAATAATAAAACAGTCAATGATACCTTAAATCTTCAAGCGAATCGGTAGTATTGTCTTCTATTTTTATCAATATTTTTTAAAACAATTATCAAGTTTTTTTATTATAAATTAAATTGTTTTTCGCTTTAAACGTTAAACCAATGGAGCTCTACACAAGGAGGATGATTGAGATACACCGCAGGAACGCTGGTAAGAAACCTTAACAGCAGAAAAAAATGAATAAGTGCTCTTATTTACTCACTATTTGCACAACTTTATTTTATCAAATATTTTTTATTTTTTATTTATCGTTAATTAGTTGAAAGTAATTATTAAACTTTGAATAATTATGAAATGACGACGTCATGAGTGGGAGATATGTTATACACATGCGCAACCACAAATTCAAAGCGCAAGCACATTTGGAAAAAATGAAAGTAAAGGTAATATATACTTGCAGGGGATATATTTAAAGTTGATTTCCAAAGTAACAACCTATAAGGTAATGAAAAGAAATAAATTAATCGTTCATAATGTAAAAACAATAGGTAAATATTTTCATTTTTTTCTGCTGTTGCGATTCTATGCCAACTTTTTTGTGGTGAAGTATATAGAAACTCGCAAGTTCCTTTTTTTATCTTCCCAGTATTATTTTTGTTACCACTGGAACTACCATTGGAAAATAGTAGATACTTAAACCGCTGACGGTACAATACTATATATACTATCAAAGAATATTGTTATATATATATATATATTGCATATGTGTTGGTTAGAGTCAAAAATATTAAAATTTTCGTAATATTAAATTTTTAAGCTTAAATAACGTTCGGTAAATATTAAAGTAATTTCTTTTTTCTCGTTTCGTCTTTAAAATTTTTCATTTTTATCGTATTTTACTAAATTTGCAATTTTTCTTTTCTATATAATGCAGCTTAAAAGTATTTCATAATAATTAATAGATATTATTTTTTGTAGTAACTTAATATTTGTACTTTCCCTATTTCTTTATTTTTATATATTTTATGTAAATGTAAAATCACGCGTTTAAATTTAATTTCATTACAACGATAAAAATAAATAAAAAAATCAGTTGAAAAGTGCATCTCTGCGAACTGGACGATTTGTATGTTAGGCTATTGTATCGCTTGATTGTATGATTAATATAGTTTTCTTTTTGTTACAGGTGATCATCGTTGGATTTATCATCTACTCGTTTTGATTTTCTTCTACTTTTTAAAATATATATGTATAAAAAACGCATTTCTGAAGGCACACACGTATTTAGACACTAAAAATTAAATATAATTATTTTAAATTTTCTTACAATATAACTATACTATATATATTATCTACGATAAAATAAAATATATTACTTATATATATTGTTACGACCCTGTTTTGAGCCGTCCCTGGAAAAAAGACGTGAAGGCCGTTTCCAGGCGACGGGTTGTTGATCGGGGAGATCTTGACTGGAGCTCGAAAAGAACGGACGTGAGATTACGGAAAATTGTGGAAAAACCCTGAACGGTTATTAGAGTTCCGTAAATAAAGTTCCTTGACATAGGGGAATAAATTCACTAAACAGGTTAAGRTTCTGGTTTCTAAAGAGTAAGTGATATCTTCTAATAGTCTAAAGAGATTTTCTTCCTCTGTTTCAAAACAAAATGGRTGCCTAGTGGAGATGGTTAGTAGACTAGTTATATGATCTACCGGAGGTCTACGTTCGATATCACCTATGGGAGCTGGGAATTAAGAAACATTGTCTTTAAATGGTATAATCAGCTTATAGATCATTGAGACAAAGTCCATATCACCTATGGCAAAAATAACTAGACTCATTTGAATGTTCCTGTCTTGACATTTTGAATTGGTCAGTAACACGACAGCTGGAGCAGTAGCAGTRGAGCTAGCGGGTCCGAAGAGGTGTTGATACCTTGCACTAATCTCGACAGCATCTGTGATAACAATTAAAGTTGTCCTTTTAAATTGTCTGGTGTACCCATATAGATCATCAAAATCCTGAAAGTAATAGATCTCTGTTGGGTAAGTGAAGRGGCTTTCTAGAGCTTCTCCATAAGCCTCATTCAAGGTGTCTATACTAAAAGKTAGAGCACTACCAGGCGCAACTGGAGTTGGCATGATGGTCGGAATAGTGGGGTTTTTGTGTGTCTGTGCTAGTGTCTGGAGTGGACGAARAAGGTTTTTTATATCTTTTCTTAACAAATTTAGATTTATGGAGAAGGACATTTCTTGTGTGATACAACAGTCATATTATGAAATGGTAACGTTAAGTGTTGATATCATCCATGATAGCCCTTAAGCCAGCGGTTATATTGATCTTGATCTCGTTCTGGGTCACCCTAGGAGCGACTGGCAGAGCATCAGTCCAGGGAGCTAGTTCTCTAATCCGTCGTTGAATATGGTCTCTCCAATCTATGAGCTCAGCCWTTTGAATTGCTCTCTGTTGCACATCCATGATCAGATCAATGTGGCCTCTTTTACTGAGAAACTGATCCTCCAAAGCTCTGTACAGAAGTTCTTCTCCCGCTTTGATGATTGCCTGCTGATATTCTGCATTCTCTTGTTGGATCTTGGATTCGGCCCATGGACCCTTAAGGTCCTGCTGTCTGAGGTGATCCAGAACAGAGTTTTAGAAATCTACTGGTTTATTTACGAAAGTCTTTCTCTCTTCTTCTGTTTGGAGTGATTTATTGTGRTATAGTAACCCACAGTAGGTCAACAGGGGATAATTCTTTATGTGGAATCGTTCTGGGAGTTTACCCCTAACCCCTAAGAAAGGTGCATGTTCCCCAACTGGTTTTATCAGGTTAAATTGGTTCATCTCAATCTGAAGTATGGGTAGATCCCGTCCT